GGGAGGAGGTTCGTGAAGCTTGCTGTGGAGATGGCATAGCTACTTGGCGCTTTCTGAACTCTAGATCCGCTTGGTAACAGAGTCCCCGTCCACTTGATCTAAAGCCTTAATGAATTGGCGCGCGAGGCGTTGGCGTTGCCTTTGACATGCTCTCTTTGATTAAGTTAGCGCGTCTTCAGCAGGCGACTCCTTGATCAAAGAGGAGTTCAGATCTGCAAATCTGGCTTCAGTAGATGCCGGCAGATCGTTACGAGGTACATCTGCAGTAGCGGTAGCGGGGAGATCACCTTCTTGAGTCCTCAAATCTGAAGACTAGGGGATCTTCTAGGAGGAGGAGACCTTCCTGCGCTTGCGAGGAGAGGCAGACCTGGAGGGGGAGGAGGAGGAGACATACTCCTCGAACTTCTGTTGGTCGAACTCGTATTCGACCTCTTCAGCCATGGGGATCTTGATTGTTGGCTACGGCATGACAGCCTCGGTGACGAGACTGTTGGCTCCCACTGTGGTCGTCAGCTTGTTTGGGAAGAAAGTCGATTTGTTCATTGCTGTGTTCATTACAACTTCAAACGTTATAATGAAAACAAAAGTTAGTCTTTTTATAAGACCTTTACACAATAAAAACAAAAAAGTACAATTCTCGTCAAAACAAACGCAGAGATCGTTTATCGATCTTCTGCTTGCATGAGATCTTTGCCTATGCTAGGGTTAATCCGTGGACCACCGAATGATTAGATCAGATTCGATGTTTCGTTGATTCGCGAAGGAATCAAGAAACCGAAGCAAATATCTCGGCAACAGTGAGATAATCACTCATCTCGAGATCACCGTAACGGGGCAATCTCAAGACAAAGAACCAGGCTGCAGATCTGACGAACTCCTCTTCTTTATACTAGAGAATTTGCTGAAGTCTCCTCCTCCTCTCTGAAATTCGTGGCTCTTCAGTCCTCAATTCAGCAAGGCTTCACCGACGCTCGAGAATTTTAGATCTGAAAACATGAAGGCTCTGGGGCTGTATTTATAGGCTTCAGGAGCTCTATTTTTGGATAAGAATGGTTGATTCATTCTTATCCTTAGTTGTAACCACTTAACCACATTCTTGGATGATATCTAATCAGTTGGAATAAATCCAAACGGTTAACGGTCGAAAAACGGCTCAAAACAGCCAAAAACAGATTTCGGAGACTACGGACACCCGTGGGTGTCTCAGCCATGCTTCAGCAGAGACACCATCCAAGCATTGGCCGAGACACCATTTGGTGTCTAGGCCAAGCATTGGCTGAGACACCACTTGGTGTCTTGGCCAAACTTTGGCCTGAACTTGGTTTACACGTTTCGTCCGTTTCCATCGTATCTTCATCGTCCGAACTCAGAATTACTTGGTTCAAGATGCGTTAAAAAGCTAATGGGAAGATCTATAAGCTTACATGGTTGAATCACATGTGAAGTAGATGGGACACATGGGGTTCTTCATCTTTTGTACGTGACGCGTAGCTCCCGATTAGTTCATGTTTGGTTATTCTGAAGTTCCGTTTCTTCACACGGTTCGTCGACTCACTTTATGCGCTTGTTAACATCAAATAAGCTTTTGTGACTTAGATAGCAATGTTCATCGTCTTCTCTCTATCTCGAGCTGTGTGTATGGACCTATAGGCAATTTTTGACGCCTACACTAATTTCCTTGGAATGTCTAGGATTAGATAAAAATAATAAAAACTCCTTTTTAGTTTTTTTTAATTGCTCTCTTCATGTGCTTATATTATCATGCTTAAGATAGCCAACTAGAATAATATTTGATAGAAAAAGAATTTAACATGTTATACTTATTTTTTGGCTAAATAAATATATATTTCATTAACCATTGTAAAAGTTTAAGTATGCACACTCAAACCTAGGCATACCAAATGAATGAAAAAGTGGCGGGATTGTCTTAAGGAGCAAGTTAGCAGGTGAATTTTCTCCTGCTAACGTTCTCCCCGCCTAGTTTCTAAATGAAGAAGAAGAAGAAAAATAGTAGAGGGATCATCGATAGCGAGCAGAGAGATTCTATGTTCGAGTATGCTTCATCATCTAAAGCTGAGGAAGGACCAGAATCCAATGGAATCTCTTTGAAAGTCATTGATTTCTATGTCTGAATTAGTCAAGAATTCTTCTCTTAATTCATCTAATATTCATTCTGAATCTGAATCTGGATTGGTTTCTATGGCTAAGACTTCTGCTCCTAATTCATCTAATGTCCAATTTGTTAATAATATTGATGATCTTGAGAATCTTACTCAAATTGATGAAATCTTTGATAAACCTGAATAAGTAGCTCAAGAAGAGGATAAAACAAAGGAAATTAACATTGCAGGGATCAAGAAAACTTTTGTTAGTCTATTTGCGGATAATCAAAAATCTAGAAATAGACTCTCATTGAATTTTGTTCAATCCTCACAAAATAACACTGTCAAATTTTCGACTGAAGAATGGAAGGAAGGCGAGGTTTTTTGGAAACATGCTTTGATTGGATATGTTATTGGTTTAAATATAAGTTTAAAGCTATGGAATCTTATGTGAATAAGATTTGGGGGAATATTTCTATTCTAAGAATTCATCTAATCAAGCAAGGTGTTTTCCTGTTTGACTTTCAATCAGTTAAACAAATGCCAGAAGTCCTAGAAGCAGGTCTTTAGTTCTTTGGATCTGGGCCTATGGTCCTTAAACCTTGGACTATTGATATTGATATGGAGAAATTCTAAGCTTGCAACTATCCAATGTGGGTTCAATTTCCCAATTTGAAGTTAAATTTGTGGACATCAAATGGACTAAGTAAAATTGCAAGTGTAATTGGTAAACCAATCACAACTGATAAGCTCACTGCTATGCAAGGGCTCTTCTGGAAATTGATCTTCCCTTGAAAAAGAGCTTGCCTGATCTCATTGAAGTACAGGGACCTGATGGAAAAAGCTACAATCAAAAAGTTATATATGAACTCAAGCCAAAATGGTGCTCTTATTGTAGCTTGGTTGGTCATGAAGCAGAGTATTGTAGAAGACAAACTTTTAAAATGAAATGGTTGCCTGTCAATAGACAGAAAGTTTCTATGCAGGTTTCAAAACCTTAAAATGTTGTTCTCAAAGGGAATGTTGAAATAGGAGATAGCACTGGTCAGCTTGGGAAAGATTTAAGAAGCAATCAATCTAGAGGTTATGTGTTTGTTCATCAAAACATAGAACATCAAGGAGGCATCAATATTGATCAATCTGGGTAAATGTCTGAAAAACATGCACAGGAGGAAAATGCTAATAAATCTAGGAAAAATACTGCGCTTCTAAATCAGTATGGAGATGGTCCCCAACCATTTCAAAGATATGCTCACCAATCAAATAGGGGTATCCTTATTGGACAATCCAGTAATAATGCCTCAGGGTCTGATAAACATGCACATCAGAATGTAGGAAACAATAACAGCAAATATGCAACTGTAAATCCTTTTCACTGCTCTCCTACTATAAATGCAATAGATTTCACAAGTGTTACTAGATCAAAAGCAGGAAAAAGGTTCAATGACACCAGTGTTGGGGGTTCTTGCATTCAAATCTCCCCATTCTCTATTCTGGAGCAGCAGCTAGACTTTTACCCCTCTTGTATTGATAAGGGGTTATCCACAGTAATGCATCTGGCACTTTGGAATATTACAGGGTTTAACAAATCCTCTAAGCACTTGATAGTCAAGCATTTTATAAATGAATAAAAGCTCTCTTTCCTAACTCTCTTAGAAACCAAAGTTGAGGGAAATAAAATACAATCAATTGCTAAGAAAGAAGCAAAGAACTTGGAATGGATTTCTAACATTCATGAAGCAAGAAATGGAAGGATTTGGATTCTCTGGGACAATGAATTTCTCTTAGTTCAAGTTTTATTTTCCTCCAAGCAGCACATCACATGCACTGTTGTTTCAAGAGATGATAAGCTTTCTTGTAAAATCACAGTAGTGTATGCTTTAAACCAAATGGATGATAGGAAAATTCTATAGCAAGAATGATGACTTTAACCAAAATAGCCCTTGGTTAGTTGGTGGAGACTTCAATGCTATATTGAATAATGAAGAGAAATTAGGTAGTGCACTAGTATTTGACACAGATACCATTGATTTTCAAAACTTTATTAGTTCTAGTAATCTAGTTCATCTTATGACAACAGGAAGTTTCTATACCTGGTGCAATAAACAAGAGGCTGAAGCAAGGATCTGGTCTAGACTTGATAGAGTTTTGGTAAATAAAGATTGGATACATCAATGCACTTCTAGTCAAGTAGAATTTTTAGTGCTAAGCTGTTCTGACCATTCCCCTACACTCATAACTATTGGAGAAGATAATTTTGATGGCAAAAGGCTTTTTAGATTCTTCAATATGTGGATCAAGAACCCTGAGTTTCTTCCAGCTATCAAATCTGTTTGGGAGCAAAATATTAGGGGATACAATATACATAAGTTTCACACTAAGCTCAAGTTCCTTAAGCCTATTCTAAAAGAGCTCAATAAGAAGCATTTCATGAACATTAGTGAGCAAGTTATTAGAGCCAAAGATGAATTATCTAGCATTCAGAGACAAATGGGTGCTGATCTTCTCAACTCAAACCTGATCGCCAGGGAAAAGGAAGGTATTAAAAAGTACATCAGATTGCTAAATTGTGAAAATTCCTTTTACAAGAAAAAGGCAAATATCTCTTGGAGCTTGCATGGTGGTAACTGCACTCAGTTCTTCCACTCTGTCATGAAAAATAAAAGGCATCGTAACAGGATACTGTCAATATACACTGAGGATGGAAACAGAATTACTGATATGCCTGACATTATAAAGGAGTTTACTGATTATTACAAGAGGATTTTGGGCACTGTTATCACTGTTACAAAACCTAATTTGGGAGTTATTTCTAATGGTCCTACTCTATCTCCTGCTCAAAGTACCACTCTCAGTCTTCCTATCAGCAGATAGGAAATCAAGCATGTTGTGTTCTTAATGTCTGAAACAAAAGCACCTGGTCCAGATGGGTATAATGCTGCCTTTGTCAAATCAGCTTGGGACATTATTAATGGTGATCTATATCTTGCTATGAAGGAATTCTTAAATACGGAAAGCTTCTTGGTACTTTTAACTCTACAACTATCACTTTAATTACCAAAATTCTTAACCCAAAAACTGCTTCAGATTACCGTCCCATCTCTTGTTGCAATCCGATTTATAAAGTCATACCAAAAATTTTAGCTGGGAGAGTGCAAAGTGTCATGGGCTATCTTATTAATGATGCACAAAGTGCCTTTGTCAAGGGAAGACTTATCTCTAGCAATATTCTTTTAGCTTATGAGCTAGTGAAAAATTATGGTAGAAAACATACTTCTCCTAGAGCTATGTTAAATGTGGATTTGAGGAAGACATTTGACTCTATTAGCTGGGATTTCATCAAAGTTATGCTGTAGGGTTTGAGGTTTTCTAGTATTATGATAAACTGGATTATGGAATACATATCTTCACCTAAGTACACTCTTGAACTAAATGGATCTTTGCATGGATATTTTAAAGGTGAGAGGGGATTAAGACAAGGAGACCCTCTTTCTCCTTATTTGTTTGTACTTAGGATGGAATATCTCTAAGAGATTAAATGCTCTTAGAAACGATAATCTCTTCAAGTATCATCCTAATTATCAATGCCTGGGGATTACACATTTGATATTTGCAGATGAACTTCTCCTCTTTGCTAAAGCTGATGGTTATTCAATTATGAAATTATTTAATTGTCTTCAAGAGTTCAGTAGGGTATCTGGATTAGAGGCTAATCCTGCCAAATGCTCAATATACTTCAGTGGTGTTGATGATGGTCTGAAAAATCAGATTTGTTCCTTTCTAAATTTCCCTGAGGGGATGCTACCAATCAGATATCTGGGATTACCATTTATGTCAAAGAGATTATCTTACCTTGATTGTTCTCCTCTGATAAGTAAAATCTCTGAGCAATTCCCTCACTAGAAAAAAAAGAGATGCCTCTCTTATGTGGGGAGACTGTAATTAATCAAATCTATTATAGTGGGAGTTTAGTTTTTTTGGACCAGCAATTTTATCTTTCCTATGAAGGTGCTGGAAAAAAATTGATGGACTGTGCTCAGAATTCCTATGGAATCATAAAATTCATCAAATCTCTTGGAAGAGCATATGTCAAGGGAAAAAATAGGGGGGGTTGGGCCTGTATTTAGCCTGGACCAGGAATCACTCTTCAGACTAAAAGCTGCCAATCTCTGTTTCTGGACTGAATTGACGTTAAGTGGGTCAAGTACATTACTCACATCCTCCTTCCACTTGTGGGCTACAAGTGAATCTGACGACCCCTGAAATTCTGGTGCCCTCATCATTTGGTATCGTTCCACTAAACAAAGCTAAGTCTCCTGCTCAGTGGCTATAACCGATGGTGGGGTAAGTCCTGATGTGGTCGCTGGAGACTCCTCTGTGATGGGGATGGATGGGATCTCTAGCGGTGGAACTACAGGTGGTGGTGCAATAGGTGGGGTCTGTTTCGCCATCTTCTCCTCAAGTGCTTCTAGCCTGGTTGTTATAGGTGCCATGAGGTCGATCATATACTGGAGAGCTTGTTGCGGTTAAGGTGGAACCTGCTATTGCTTCAGTGGAGCCTGCTGCGGCTCTGGCTCCTACTCATCCTGCCTAACTTCTCGTGCACGGGATCCTCTCCGTCCACATCAATGTCCAGCTATCTATATTTTTTTTAGTAAAGGAATTATAAGACATAATTTTTGTAAATTTTTTAATTTACGTATATAACGTCCTCACTCATTCTAGGAATTCCTAGCGGACTCTATACATGATTCCTAGAAAACTCTATACTAACTCCACGACCTGACACATGAATGATCCTAGGATGCTGGAACTAGAACTCTGATTCCAACTGAGACGCCCCTGGGTTCACACAAGGCTGCAGTCTAAGGTAAAACCAGAGATGTCAAACCTGCCATGCACCCACACTGTGCATAAACATGTTTCACCAATCACAGTAATATCCTCTAGTAGAACCAAAAAAGAAGTGCAGATACAAAACAGGCAAAATAAAGGGAATAAATGTAATAGACATGATATAGAAGAGATATCTCATAAATTAAAAGAATCATGTCTCAACTATAATACATCTGATATCTGAATAATAAAAATATCTCAACATGAATCAACTAAAAATCATACTAATGCACACTGCCTTTACAATATGAATATGAAACTCTAATTACTAGATAAAACTCAAAACTACAGTGAAGTCTCTACAAGTAAAAATACACGACGACGATTATGCCAGAACTCTGTCACCCTGCGGCTCTCTGAAACTCCGAACTACCTGAAAAATAATTTAAAAGAAAAATAACAACAACAAGAGTATCGGAGCGCTACAGCAAGATTACCTCCACCCGCCCCCAGTGGAAGGGCTGTTAGATAAAGTGAAGGCTCTATCTATTAAGCATAGTCTAACTAGATTCATTTTCCCCGTATCTAAATGGGATTAACATTTAGAAACCTACAACACGAGACGTAGTACGTCGAGCAAAATAATCCAAACAAGAAAACCCTCATGTATATACCATAAGTCTCAAATTGTAGATATCTAAATATTAATACCGAACTAAGAAAAGACAATCTAATGAAACCAATAATTAGAAATCCATAACATGAGACTGGTACGTCGAGTGAAATAATCCAAATAAGGAAACCCGCATATATATACCATATGTCTCAAGTTGTGAATCTCTAATCATTGATCCCAACGAAGAAGTAAAGAAGACAATAAAAGAAAAAAGATATCAACACATCGTATTTATAATATCTTCCACTATCACTAGAGAGATAGAATGAAATTCCAACACATAATTTTGTATACTTTCAAAAGTAACGTATCTCAGTCATATAGTTCAGTGATAGGTCGTATTCATAATCGGCATCTGCCATGCTTAGGCTATTAAGTAATTGTCTCAGTGCAACAGACTACCCTGTAGGTATCATGAATTGTGTACACGGCTCATTAGTCTCATCACGATCTTAGTGTGTAACATGAGTGTGGGACGGACTACCAAATAGGCATCCTAGAAATACGGCTCACGATCCTCATCGTACCCTAGTGCGGGACGGACGGCTAGATCAAGCCTCCTAAAATCCGACTCAATGGCTTGTACATGTGAAATATCGACACACTACCTCATGTAGTACTGAACTGAGCTCATCAATGATATCCATCTCATGTATAAACTGTGTATATCTGGTATGTCAACGCACTATCCCATATAGTATTAAGTTGTGCTCATCAACGACATCCAACATGTATATGAACTATATCTAATTCAAATATGATCAAATCAAAATTCATCATAATCCCCTTGGGATTCTCAAATGTATAACATAACATATTCATGACTATACTTATAATATCAAGTGGCTCAAAACTCCGCGAACGCACCTCAAAACGACGCAACACAGCTCCACAAAATGAGCAGAAAAATAGACGGAACATCTATTATTAAAACAAGCATATATTTCTTTAGGAAAACTATTTTTACAAATGGTTTTCTATTTTGAAAACTAGATTCACACATCTTTCAAATAAAATATGGTTCAGTTTGGAGTTCATTTGCTATCCCAAATCTCTAGTTAAACATTATACATGTGCAGCAATTTTTTTGCAGGACATGTTTTTAGTAAACATAACATATCTTTCTCTATATTAATTCTATTTAAGAATGGTTTTCTATTTTAGAAACTAGATACATATAGCTTTCATTTGAAGCTAGTTTGGTTAAATTTAGATTTCGGTTGTTATCTTAAAATCTTAGTTAAATATTACACAAGTGCTGCAGTTTTCTACAGAAAATATATATTTAGTACATCACTTAAATTTCTCATACATAAATAAAGTTATGAGTAACCCTAAAGATTATGATCATGATACTATCATAAAAAGTAAGAAAAGATTACTAATCTAGCATTGATTTAAGATTTACTATCAAAAATCTGACTTTTAACACCTCAGGTTAAGATTAAAGTATGAAAATACATATTCAACATCATATTAATCATCTACACAAGTTATTTAATTATGGGGATAGGTTTGGATGAAGATAATCTTGCCTAAAAAGTCATTCTAAGACTCTAAGATAAATATCAAGTAATTAGAAGTGCAGGCAACCCGTTTTCTCCTTGCCACACGTCGATGATCTCGCCCTTGTGTCGATATTTGCTTCACAAAGCTCTCAAAATTCTCAATTTTAGGGTTAGGGCTTTAGAGAGAGGAATAGGGGCTGTTAGGGTTTGAAACTCTAATGTAAGGGTGATAATTTTCGTGAAAACATAATTATACATATATACAAACCCGAAATAAACCCGTTTGACCCGAACTAGGAAACGTAGTCTGACTAGGAAAATAATCTTCGATATTTTGGCAATAACTTTCACGTCCGAACTCAGAATGAGGTGATATAAGATTTGTTGGAAAGCTCTTGAAGATACATACAACTTTGATATTTTAAGTTTTTCTAGATTCTAACTGTTTTAGTGTGAAAAATGTAAATACTTTTAACTAGTTGTTTTTCGCAGATTTAGGCCCGTGCACGTGTGCATGATATCACTTCTATATTCACATATATACATTGAATTGATCTCAAATTAATTTTTAGCATACTAAAACATTAATAAATATTATTTTTTTATAATACAACACATTTATTATTTATTACATAATATTCAAATTTTTTTGGGGTTTTACATTTTCCCCCCCTTAAAAGAATTTCGTCCCCGAAATTCCGCAAACGTATCTTAGAGGTTAATAATAAATTATCATAAATCTTCAGATATAAAACATTATAATATCTATACTTAACAATCTAGAATATGAATACTCCTACTTAACCCCTAACTAAATGGAACTAGTACGTCAGGCAAAAAATCCAAACAAGGAAACCCTATATATATACCATGTGTTCTGAATGATTAGGAGCCAAGTGCTAATATCCTCATTCTAGTGTTAAATATAAATATGACCATATGAACAAACCATAAACAAGAATAGATCATAATTAACCAATCAATTTACCTGCTCAAACATGTGTGGAAAGTCGCGACGCATATCCTCCTCGCGCTCCCAAGAAGCCTCCTCAGCTCCTATTCGGTTCCATTGAACTTTGACTAGAGGGATCACTTTATTTCTAAGTCTCTTGTTCTCCTTGGAAAGAATACATACAGGAATTTCAATAGTAGACAAATCATCATGAATTTCAATCTCTGGCGTGACTAGCACTCTCTGCTGCTCCTCGTCTCGTAGATGTTTCTTAAGCATCGAAACATGAAATACATCATGTATGCTCGACATCGATGCTGGAAGGTCCAACCGATATGAAACAGCTCTAATGCGCTCAACTATGTAGAATGGACCGATATACCTCGGGGCAAGCTTTCCCCATCTACCAAATCGCTGAACTCCCTTCATTTGTGACACTTTCAACAATACATAGTCCCCAACCTGGAACTCTAATTGTCGTCGTCTCCGATCTGTATAACTCTTTTGATGACTCTGCACTGCAAGAATACACTCGCGAATGAGTGCTACCTTCTCCGTAGTCTGTCTTATAAGATCCGGCCTAAGTAGTAAGCTGTCCTCTAGCTCTGCCCAACAGATAGGTGATCTACAAGGCCTCCCATACAACGCCTCATACGGTACCATGCTAATAGTCGCTTGATAATTGTTATTATAAGCAAACTCAATCAGTAGAATGTGGTCCTTCCAACTGCCTTGAAAATCTATGACACATGCCCGCAACATATCTTCCAACACTTGGTTGACTCTCTCCGTTTGTCCATCTATCTACGGGTGAAAGACACTAGAGTACAACAACTGGCTACCGAAAAAATTCTGAAAGGTCCTCTAAAAATGTGAAGTGAAAACCAATCCTCGGTCTGATACGATCATTTCTGGAACTCCATGCAACCTC